TATTTTGGGAAAATTAAATGTGGATGTGCATGTGAACATCTTAGCATGTTGCCTACCCCATAGTAAACACTCAAATCTTAAACATTATTATATTGTTTTATGGAACTTTACAGCTGGGACAAGGGCAACTTATCTCCTAGCTTCTTTATGGTGTAGTCCCAGTAGCACACTTATCCCACATCAGAAGTACATGTTTTCTTTTCTCCCTGTGCTCCTCTTCTGTCCTTGATTGGAGAATTGGGCTTATTTGTGGCTTCCTTTGATATCATTGCTGATGTCTCTCCAATCCATCTGACATGATCTTCTATGCTTCTTGGTTTTCCAGGGATATTAATAGAGCATATCCTCTAATTTGGCTGTCCATGTATTCACAGCTGAGGCCATTATTTCATCTCTCTTCCCTTAAGGTTAAAAACCTAAAGGACCCATGGACAAAGCCAAAGTGGGGAAGGATTGTGGGTGGAAGGAGGGGATGGGTGGAGGCAGGGGAAAGTAGTGGAGGGAAAATGGAGACAACTGTACTTGAACAATAAAAAAAGAAAAAAGAAAAAAAAAACCCTACATCAACAAAGTTCCCTTCTTAATATTCCCATTTCTGTAGCTAGAATAATTTTATTCTGGTCTGATAGACTGTAAAATTGAATCTTTTTTTTATACTTTTTCATCTCTTTATCCTGCCATGTAGTTCTGTATTATCTTCCTCAGTATCCCTCCTGTTTTACTGTTATATTTGCTGCCATGACTCTAGACCAGGCTTTTATGAACTGAAGGCAGACCAAATTAGTGTTACAGTTCTTAGTTCATCTTGTTGCCAGTGCTTTGCCATTTGCTAGTTGTGTGTGATCTCAGTCTCCATCTTCAAAATGGGAATTACAATTCCCATCTCATGACATGTGTGTAAAATATTTAACTAAAGGCCTAACATATGGTAAACACTCAGTAAACAGTAGTTACTGTTATTTGAGTTTTTCTCATTGGTAATCTTTGGAAATGGTTAAGATTGAAGTGACAGTTTATGACAGACCAGTCTTAAAGGACTGTTATCTGAATGTTTTCTCCTGATTAAAAACTTACTTAATTTATTGCCTATCTCTCCTGCTTATCTTTGAAGGTTTCCATATGGCCCTCATTGTACATTTCCAGCCTTATTTTCCATGATACTTATCATGCAGTCTGTTCCAGCCAGGATAGTCTCACTGCCTCTCATATGTAGCATGTTCATTTGCACAACTGGAGCATTTATTTTCCTATGTAGGAGGCAATTTTTTTTTCATTTACTCTATCCAATTCTGTAGAGTATCTCCTGTATGCTTTATCATTTAACCACTGTTGCCCTTGTACAATTAGGTTAAAGAGTATATCCTAGAAGAAAATTATTATGCTAATTAATTCCTGCCAAATAGCTTAAAAATGATATATCATGCAGTATAATTGATATGTAATGTTTTAGTACCTTATAGGCACATTTAGTGGTTACATACTAGGCACTCAAACATTCATTCAGCATCGGTAGCAGATCCTTGGACATTCTGTCCAATGTCATTTCCTTATATTGTTGATGAGATGCCAGGGGAACTTCTTTTATATCAATCATCTTTATGGTAAGATTGGTTTTGTTATGTGTTTTGCTTAAAGTCACAGAACCTATCAAGGACATTAAGTGAGGACTTAACTGTTCTTTTGATTCTTACACATTGATGTTCCTCATGAGCTTTCTGAAGCATTACCTGATTCCAGCTGTTGAATTTTTCTTGCCTTTTTGTTTCACTGGTCCATTCATTCAACAAACATTTATTGAATGCGCCACTATGTGCTAGGCATGCATGGTTTAGGTATTAGGGATACAGTGGACAGAAATAGGCAAGGTCTTGAATTTCCTGGATTTTAGTCTGAGATTAAAGAAAGCAGTTAATGAATGAACAAAAGTTCAGATAATAAGTACTACAAAGAAAATAAACAGAATGTGATAACAACATGGGGCACAAAGGGAAGACTAACTACAGTCATGCGCAGTTTAACAATGGGGATACATTCTGAGAAATGCATCGTTAGGTGGTTTGGTTGTTTTGTGAACATTGTAGAGCGTGCTTACACAAACCTAGGTGTCGTATAGCCTACTACACACTGAGACTATCTGGTATACTATCGCATCATATATGCCATCTGTCCTTGACAGAAACATCATTTTGTGGCATATGACTGTAATTGAGATTACTGGTTTAGAGTAGACCTCAGTGAGAAGGTGATTTTCAGGCTGAAAGACACAAGGCAGGATGTGTAGCGCTAAACTTTGGGGACAGAAAGAATAGCAAGTGCAAGGGACTAAAAAGTAGAAACCAGGATTCAATGGCTATTTCCAAATTGTATTTGGTAATCTAACAGACCTCCTCCCCCTTGTTTTCTTTCCCTCCGTGGCATTGACTTTTTGAAGAGACCAGTCTGGTTCTCTGGTAGACTTTTTGAAATTCATGATTTGTCTCAGTGTTTCCTTGTGTAATTTAACTCCTTTACACACTTTTAAGACAAGACTGCAGGCTTGATTGTATTCATATTTGCAATACTTTGTGATACTGTGGACTCATATCACTTGATGTCACATTTTTCCATTAATTTGATGACTTGGTTAATGTCAAAGTCCTAGATCTTTCCATTATAAAGGTTTCTCTTTACAATGATCAGAAAATTTGTGGGGTGGCAGTTTAACACAATGCAATTACTATTATTTTCTCAGCCATATCTCACCTATGGTGTTAGCATCTATTAATAAGCCTTGGCCTGAATCAGTTGTTTCATTGGAGGTTGCAAAAGAATGATGATGATATTCATTCCTTCCACGTTTATTAGCTGACAAGATACTATCAATTGAGAATGAGCTATTAACAGTCTCTCCTAATATGGCAGGGTGTTTAATTCTGCTTTTCTTTTTTCTTTTTTAAAGATTTTATTTATCTGTTTATTTATTTTAAATATTTTATTTATTTCTATTTAAAGGTGGGTAGAGAGGAAGACAGAGAGGGAGAGAAATATCAATGTGTGTGTGGTTGCCTCTTGCACGTCCCCTCCTGGGGACCTGGCCTACAACCAGGCATGTGCCCTGACTGGGAATCGAACCGGCAACTGTTTGGTTCGCAGGCCGGCACTCAATCCACTGAGCCATACCAGCCAGGGCAAAAAAGATTTTATTTATTTTTAGAAAGGGAGAAAAACATTGACTGTTGGTTCTCATATGGGCCCCAACTGGGGACCAAACCTACAACCTAGGCATGTGCCCTGATCAGGGATTAAATTTATGACCTTTCTCTGTGAGACAATGCCCAGCCAACAGAGCCACACCAGTCAGGGCTAATCCTGCTTTTCATTGTAAATTTTCTTAGTAAAGAATTGATCTCTGCAATGATGGCAAATAAGTTTCTTTACTATTTTCTGTATCATTGTAGGTACATGAATTTTTATTTATTTATTATTTTACACATAGTTACAGCCATTAGTCTTTTCGATGCTGACCTTTGGCCCTTATAAGCCTCTTCTTCAGGCTGGTGGTGTGTCCTTTTGACATGCCTTCATTGGTGTTTGGGTTGTTTCCTCTCACAACAAGATGTCTCAGGCTAACCTTGTATTCTCCCCATCCTTGACTTGAAATCAGTCATTTTTCTAGGAAGACCTGGTTGTGTTTTTTGGGTTTATTTTTATTTTGATTTTGTTTTATTATTATTTTTTACAAGGAATGCCATAGGGAACCAAGCTCATTGCTGTTAGGTCTTCATTATTTATAGGTCCTTTGAATGGGCAGAGCTAGAAAATACGTTTTTTAGAAATCAAAACTTTACATTGATATTTCCAATTTAATTTTAATGTATAACAGGGTTTTTTCTTTAGATTTTATATGTCTCTCCTTTCTTAAACTGAAAGTCTTGATTTTTAGTATTGTTCACACCTATTTGCTTTATCCTACAGTATATATAAGAAGTTTTTAAAAATATAGTATCTATATTACTACTAACAAAATTACTAAAGCAAATTTAAGATTGCTTTGTGATTTTTAAAGCATATTTTTATTTATTTATTTTGAGAGGGAGGGGAAAGGAGGGAGACAGGGGGAGAAAAAATCGATAGGTTGCCTCTTGCTTGTCTCTTAACTGGGGACCTGGCCCACAACCCAGGCATGTGCCCTGACTAGGAATTGAACTGGCAACCGTTCGGTTTGCAGGCCAGTGCTCAGTCCATTGAGACACACCAGCCAGGGCTGTGAATCTTTTTGTGCTTAGGATATTCTGCCTGCCAGGATCAGGTCAAAAAAAAAAAAAAAAGAAAGAAAGAAAACATAATATTTCAAATAGAGAAGATTTAATATAGAGAATTGGTTGTATGTGTATTATAAGACTGAGAGAACAGAAAAGAGTAGGGTAGGGTAACTTAGAGATTAATAACTGTAGGATGAAACTATTACCTCAGAAGTTGGGGGAACAAAAGGGATAGATGTTATTCCTAAAACTTCTAAATATGCAGGAGGGATCACCACCTCAAGCACTGCCTGCACTTTCAGAGCTGGGGCCACGAGCAGGAATTGACCAGGACCGCATGGCTGGTGCTTGAGCCATCCTCCTCCTCCTAATTTTTATTAGTGTCTGGTTTATCCTTTGAGTGTTTCTTTTTGCAAAAATAAATATCTACACGTATATTTTTCTCCTTTTTAAGTTTTTTTAAAAGATTTATTTATTTTTAGAGACGGGAAAGGAGGGAGGGAGGGAGGGAGACAAACATGTGCGAAAGAAACATCACTAGTCAGTTGCCTCTCACACCCCCAAACTGGGGACCTGGCCTGCAACCCAGGCCTGTGCCCTGACCAGGAATCAAACCTGTGACTTCCTAGTTCACAGGCTGGCACTCAGTCCACTGAGCCACACCAGCCAGCACCTATTTTTCTACAGAAGGTTGCCATACTATTTACACTGTTCAGCACCTCTTTTTTCACTTTAATGTATCATGGAGATTGTGCCATATTGGAAAAGAGGCAATCCTTAATCATTTTCATAGCTTTATTTTGCAGATGAATGAGATGTGTTCAGCTAGTCAGATGTTTTTGTTTTTTAATCCTCACCTGAGGACATTTTCATTGCTTTTTAGGGAGAGGAAGGGGGAGAGAGAAACATTGATTGTTTGCCTCCCTTACACACCTGGACCAGGGATCTCACAGACCTAGGGATCGCCCGCACCAGGGACAGTACGCACCCGTGACTGAACCTGCAACCTAGGTATGTGCCCAGACTGGGGATCAAACCTGGAACCATTTGGTTACGGGAGGACTCTCCAACCAACTGAGCCATACCGGCCAAAGCTAGTCACTTTTTGATGGACATCAATAAATAATACTTTACTGCTGATCTTGGAAAAATAGATTTTTGTTATCATGTTAGAAGGAGCACTTGGCTGAAAGACAAAAGATAGAGGTTCTGTTTTGCCATTAATTAGCTTTGTGACCTTGAGGAAGTGACTTAGGTTTTCTGACCTCAGTTTCCTCATTAATATAATAGGGATTCAGTTGTTTAATAATTTTATTTTTTAAAAGATTGTATTTTTAGAGAGAAGGGAAGGGAGGGAGAGAGAGGGAGAGAAACACCAACATGCGAGAGAGACATCGATCGTTGCCTCTTGCACTCCCCCAACCAGGGACCTGGCCTGCCCCAGGCATGCACCCTGAGTGGGAATTGAACCAGTGACCCTTTGATTTGCATGCTGGCACTCAGTCCCCTGAGCCACACCAGCCAGGTCTATTTAATAATTTTAAAGACCTTTTGCTATAATATTTTATATTTTTCTGGAAGTTTTAATGGCTATATTTTAAACCTATTCAGTAAAATATGTAAGGCATAGGAAAACTGTAAATGAGAACATAAGCTTAAGTTTTAGAGGTACTGCTGAGGGTTTTCTGAACTTGTGTCTGCTGTGGTGCTTGTTAAAAAAATGAAGATTCCTGGACCCATCCCTATCTTCAGAAACACTATCCAGGGAATTTACCTGCTAGGTGATATTTTTATGACCAAGTAAGCTTGTGAAACAAAGATTTACTTCATTTGCATAGGCCGCAACTGTCCTTTAGGTGTCCTGGAGGTAGGGAGTACCCAAGACATTGTTTACTTTTCATGAATTTCTTTTATTTGACCACCACCAGAAAAAATGTAAGTGGAAATGCTGGCCTGCAAACTGAAAAGTTGCCTGTTCGATTCCCAGTCAGGACACATTCCTTGGTTGCAGGCCAGGTCCCCAGTTGGGGGTGTGTGAGAGGCAACAGATCGATGTCTCTCTCGCACGTTGGTGTTTCTCTCCCTTTCTTCCTCCCTTCCCCTCTCTAGAACTGACTAAATAAAATCTTTAAAAAATATAAATAAAATTCCTACTGCTTTTCTTACATTTCATTTTTTTAAAAGAAGATTTTATTTATTTTTAGAGAGAGGGGAAGGGAGAGAGAAAGGGGGGGAGAAACATCCCCTCGATTATGTTATATTACTATAACAATATAATATTGTTACAGCATAATAATATAGTGATAGTATTGTTATGACATTAAAAAAGTGTTTACTTAATATAAATGACAGTATTTAAAAAATGAGCCATATTGTCCAAATTAGAGTCTGTTTTATAGAGTCATTTTTGTGAATGTAAAAGATGAGTTGGTGAAGCACATCTTTACTAATGTATATAACTTTTTTTATTAATGAGTTCCCTTATTTTTAAAGTCTAAAGTTAATGCAGCTATCTTTAAGCTGAAAGTATGTATATTTAATGAAATACTAATTTATTTTATTAATTTAATGAAAGTGTATTCATTCATACTGCAACTAATTTTTGGATAATTACTACTACTAAACCAGCAGAGGGGGCTCAGCAATGTAAAAAACTGCCAATGGTCAATTCTGGAAAACTTGAAAATTTAGTTACGAGTAGAAGTAGTATAAATAGAAAAGTCTTGGTGATGCTGTCTTTGCATGTAATTGACTACATCTTGATTATTATAAACTTCATAACCCTATTACTGCAAATAAATGTTAATACCAAAAATCTTTTGTAACATCTAAGTGATGTCTCCCCCCTTCTTACCCCATACATATGTGTTATTTTACATTTCTTTCTAAATCAGATTCTGGTAGGCAGCAAACATTTGGTACAGTTGTGTTGTTTGGAATCCGAAAAATAATTTTTCCCTTCAATTCTTTTAAGTTTACAGATAATTCCTTGTTCTGGCCAACACTATGTAAATAGGAAGTAATAATGAAGATAATTATGCTAACCTGCTGTTTTAGTTAAGTAGGCTTTGCTTTTCTTTTTTAAAAAAGATTTATTTATTTATTTTTAGAGAAGGGAAGGGAGGGAGAAAGAGATTTGGGAGAGAAACATCAATGTGTGATTGCATCTTGCACTCCCCCTATGGAGAACTTGGCCTGCAACCCAGGCATGTGCCCTGACTGGGAATCGAACCGGCGACCCCTTGGTTCGCAGGCTGGTGCTCAATCCACTGAGCCACACCAGCTAGGCCTAAGTAGGCTTTTCTTTATAAAATTAAAATAAACACTTAGAAACATAACTTTAGGTTTCCCTCAGGTACTGTTGCATTTTATAAAAAATGTATGTAAACAGAACTTGAGGGTAAGCTGATTTTAAAAGAAAGTTTTCTTTGTATTAGGCTTTTTGATTTGGAATATCTTTTTAATTGGATTGTTTAAAATGTTTTACTTTAACCATAACTATGAATCACTTTGGAGCAAAATAAGAGAGAACAAATTTTTTCTCTTCTAGTGTAATATAAGCGGATAAACATTAGTATAAATAAAATGCCTAGGTTTAGTTACTTTATCCATAAATATAGTTTCTACACTAATTTTTTGTAAAGGCTATAATTAGAAAATTGTTTGCTTTTGGATATTTAAAGAAAATAATTACTTATTTATATATAGAGTGTTCACCTCTACTCAGAAGGCAGAAATAGGAATATTATTTGTATGAAGTAACAGTAATTTCTATTAAAATGCAACTAGAAATTTTAAAATCATTTCGAAGTGAAGAAATACGTATTTTTTACATGATGAAAAATAGTTTCAGGAACTTTTAGAGGTAACAGCATGAGATTTTTAATTGTGGAATGATTAGTTGACATTAAAAAGATATAGACTGTACGTACACATATATTATTTTTTCGTGTTTGCCTTGCATCTGTAAAGACACAACAAGGATTATGCTCATTAAAAACCAAGATCAAATGAAACAAGTCCTGCAAGAGATTTATCTCCCTTTGGACTTGTATGTGGCAGTACTTTCAATAGAAATTTCTTTGCTAGACTTAGAACTCTAGGTACAAGTGGTTGTAAAGTGCAAGTTTTTCTTTGAATAATTGTTGCCTCCCTTTGTAGTAGTATGGGGCAAACTATTTTGCTAACCAGTTTGAAGAAAATACCAAGTATGTTTAAATTTTTTGTGCTGATTGAAAACATTGGTTCATCTAATTTGCTTAGAATATACAACTGCTTTCCTCAAAGGAAACTGATTAGTTAACATATCTTCTGGTATAAAATTGGTATATATGGTAAAACAAATTTATTTTCACTACTGGCTTGTTTAAAATGTTTTATTTTAACCATAAGTTCTGCAAATAGAAATGTAAATAAAAGTACAAAAACCATTTAACTTTTATTATATGCCTTACGCTTTTCCAAGAGTATGCACAGAAAAAGCATTTAATCCTCGCAATATCTCCATGAGATTGGTACAGAATTATTATTACCCAGATCTATGGAAAGGAAATTAAGGCTTTTTAAAGAAATTCTACAACAAAATTTAAAATTTTAAATGTAACTTTTCAGGCAATTGTGATTCTAGGACATACTTTCTTTTCAAGTCTAATTTTATTCATTTGTGTACAAAAGTATTTCTGTACATTTTAACAACTAAAACAGCACCTTTGTTTTGAGGATTCTTGGGGGTAGAATAACAGTTTTGCCACTCTTTTCAGTGACTCTCCATCAGTAGTATGCCTTTAATTAGTGTCTGGTAGTAAACCCCTTTTATTCCTTCTTTCTTTAACTTTATGTAATGAAAAATTTCAGATGTGTATATATATATACAGAGAGAGAAATAGAATAATATAGTGAATCTCTGTATATTCATCACTTAACTTCAAAAAGTACCAGTAATTTACCTGTTTTATTTCATTTATCTCCCCACTTTTGGAAGGGGAATGGTGGAGTATTTTAAAGCAAATTCTAGATTGTTTATCCCTAATTAATACTCAGATACTCATCTTTAAATCATTTTAGGGTCTTGGATTTTTTGGGGGTTTTTTTAATGTTTTTTTGCTTCATGTATTTTGCAGCTCTTAAAGTGCATTTCTTGTAGATAGCATTTAAATTAGGCTTTGCTTTTGTTTTAAGCCAGTCTGATAATCTCGATCTTTTTTATTGGAGTGTTTAAACAATATATATTTAATGTGTTTCCATATAGGTAGATTTTAATCTACCTTCTTGATGTTTGTTTTCTCTTTGTGCCATCTGTGGTTTGTTTCTCTCTATCTTTATTACCTTCTTTTGGAGTAAGTAATTGAGTATTTTTTAGTATTCTATTTTATCTACACTGTTGACTTATTAGATACGCCTCCTTGTGCATGTGTGAATGTGTATGTGTGGTTCTGAGGTTTACGATATACATTTTTGATTTATCTCAGTTTACAACATGCACTTTAAGTTTATCTGCAGAGGAATATACTTGTTCACATATCAGACTTTATACTTCCCTTATTCCTCATTCTTTGAGCTATTGTTGGTATTCATTTTCTTCTACACATGTTGTAAATCTCACAGCACATTAGTAACCTTTTAAGGAAAATGAGAAAATGAAATTCTTTTATGTTGACCCAGGTAGCTGTAATTTCCTGTGCTCTTTATTTCTTAGTGTATATCCAAATTTCTAGTTGAAAACTCTTCTACCCTAGGAGGAGGACCTTCTTTAACATTTCTTGTCATGTACGTGTACTAGTGTTACGTTCTTTCCACGCTACCTGTCTGAAAATAGTTTTTATTTTACTTTTATTTTAAAGAATATTTTCATGGACATAGAATTCCAAGTTGATTTTTATTCCTTTCAGCACTTTAAAGATGTCATTCTATTGTCTTTTGTCCCTTCTCACAGTCATTCTCTATCACTAGTTTTCAGCAGTTTGATTATGATGTGCGTTGGTATGGTTTTGTCTTCGTGTTTCATCCTGCTA